AGCTCATCCTCGTCCCATTTCCATAATCGTTCAGCAGTTGGCATCACTTTTTTATAATTTTCACTACTAACACGTCCCTTATTCCTCGTATCCTGGCCGAGTGCCAAATATATTAATTCCTTTGGCCAACAACCTACTTCGAGTCGTCACAGCCAATAGTACCAATGATTCCTTCGCATTGGAGTATTTTTCAAAAATTAACGAGCCGAACGTCCTTTTTTCCCAAAAGATTAATTGAACGGGGGAAAAAGCAGGCGCCAGTCGAATCGCATTGTCCGACAATGAGGAAGCAAGAGAGTCCATGACGTTTCAAAATTTTTGAAATTTTTTCAAGGAATACCTTTCTTTTTCCACTGTAAGATACCTTGTACTTTTGGCAACTCCTATTTCTCTAAGCACGCATTGTCCAGGTGACAAAGGACAGGTGGGTAAATTTGTAATTCGACGTCGAGGGATCACGGGATATAACACGTGTCCCCAGCAAAGGCCAAGGAGTCCTTATCTCTCACTTTCTATCTCTCTCTCTCCCTCACTCTCTCTTTCATAATCTTACGTATCCAAGTGAAATTAATTCCGATCTTGAAAACCGTGGAAACTCGTGACGTCAGACCAGGCTGGAATTCAAGGAAGACCCGGTTGTCACGTTTCCGACTGGATTCGAAGGTTCATCTGGCATTCTGACCCTCCCGTTCCAGGGTATCTCGCCGCCTCACGTAAGGGATGTTAGAATTTTCTTTAATAAAATGGGGCGCAAACGCCACGCAAGCGAATATCTAGCCGATAGTACTTTGGTCAGCTCTGTGTCCGGCTGGAGATGCTACTAGGTGGGGTTGCTAGGGAAAATCTAAAGGAGGGAGCGTGTTGCTTAGGCTGATTCAATCTGACATGAGCAACCTCAGAGCCTCCACCCCAAGGGGATCAACGATATTCCCATAGAACTTTGTTCCCATTGGCTGAAATCCTTTCTACCGTGTCCCCGAGCATCCTTCAAGATCATCCCTCAAAAAGAAAAGTCATGAATATGATTTCACCCCGCAGCCTCTCGTACGAATTTAACGAAATTATTAATGTCCGATAATAAAGGAAACTCTCGAATTTTCAAGATAAACGGTACGCAACGTACATCCGGTTCCATGCGAAATTCAACGTGACTTCCGGCACCTAAACTCCTGGTTGCTTTAGCTTCTCATTGTGGATAGGGTGGCAGGGGGTCAGGGTGGTCGGCCCTCCCTTCCCAAGTTGCCGTTATCCTAGCCCAACACGTGGAACAACGGGTGGTCCTTGGGGCTATCTACGATAACATTGATATGAAAATTATTATCCATGGAATACAGCCTCGCTATAGAAACATCCCCTGTAGCCCATTTAATAATCAACAGTGCCAATTCGAAATTCGACAAACTCTATCCATCGCACGTTTTGTTTTTCCTTCGTTTCGCGTATACTCTAACGTACAGCTATATATAGATATATAAAATCCTATTGGAGGTTTACGGAGTTTGAACAATATTTACTTTGCCTCCGCGTCCCGCGGTACATGCTTTACTTGTGACATGCTATCGGGAAATGTATTATTCAAATCGTTCCACCCCTCATCCTTTTTTATAAGCCGCGCCCGAGGAACAATTCCCGAGGAAGGCCGAGTCGAACCGAAAGAATTCGCATACGGGTCTCTGCTTTGGAAAATGGTTTAAAAAAATATACATAACCATACGTGGGGAGGGAGGGTGTCGCCCTGCTTTATCCCCTTTTGTACGTTAAAGCACTTGTCTGGCCGGGAATTAGGCGAGGAGGGTGGGGGGTCACGTTCTTTTTTATTGAGCATAAGACGTAGGTATACAATTTTTTTTTATTCTATTTTTTTTTTTAGAAAATCACCCCTCATGGACACGACAGAGCCTTTTTCCTGTCGAGGGTTCGTTAAGTCAAAAGTTACACGCAACGGTGTAAAGCGTACAGCAGTACGATTGGACTTGACTTACCAGGCAGGTAAGGTAGGAAATTTTTTTTTTTTCAAAATTTGTAGGTTCAATGAAAATCGGAAAATCTAGGAAGGATGAAGGAGATTGGACCAAGGTGGGATAACCTGTAGCCCAATAACGATTTGGTAAAAATTGTCCCGTGGCAGAAGAAAAAATGGCTCGTAAGAGGCCGTGAGCGTTCCTGTTATCGAAATAAATAAACTGCCACTAAAACCATGTAATAGGGCGATTCGTACGCAAAAAGAGGCCGTAACGTCCCGGCTTTGGGAAAGTTTACCGTCATGTTTATGACATTCCGCTTTCCTTTTAGATTCAATAAAAGCATCGATTGAATATTTGATTCAATTTCCCAGACCATGGCCGCGCATAAGCTACGCCTTTCTGTGCCCCCATAGTTTCGCCCTGGAAAACGTGCCTTTGCGAGAAATCTCATAACCTAATTCGCACTTTATGCGACTATCCCGCGTGACCTCGGACTCATGAATACTATATAGATTTGTCGAGGAGTAGCGAGCAAAGAAAAAAAAAAAAAAAAAAAAAAGAGAAAAGGCCTGTAAGAAAAAAAATTTTTTTCCAATCAAACGGCAATGATAAGACTGAGACAGAATTACATAGAGCAACGAAGAGAGAGAAGAGATTAAGCGTTCGATAATAAACAAGCGTGTAGAAGGAACGTCGATAAGAGACGCATAGTAGTAAGGATATGGAAATATAAGGAAAGACAAAGAAACGTAATAAAAAAAAAGGGAAAGGAGGGAATGACGAACCGGCCGAGGTGAAAAGATGTATAAAAAAATCCTTTGGCAGGTAACCCAGCCTGTTTTACGTGCATTAACCCTCTCCCTTGGGAATTCGTGGATATTACAGTAGGCGTTGACACACACCACGTGGCGAAAATCGTGGCCACACATGAGCCATTTTTTTTTTATTAGGTGGCCACAGTGCAATATGATAAACATATTCATGGGGGTGACGCATTCTGTATGCAAAGTGCACGAGGACCTCGAGCCTTCGCGGTTCTTCGTTTGACTTCGGGCAGGGAGCCGATAGGGGAAAAAAAAGTGGTATCAGAAAAAATGCAAGGTTACCCACATTTTTTATTCGCGAACCGCTCAGAGGTTAAGGCTCGGGTTTATAAGGACTTCGCTTATGATAATACATTCAGTTTTTCGGAGACACTTGCCTGCGCATCCACGTCGAACCTTCCTGCGAGGAGTTCGACCTAATAAAAAGTTAGGGGATCGTGGCAAGTTACGTTTATTAGCCTCGAAATCAGGTAATTTCGGGATCAGCCTGCCAAGTGGGTTTGGTGTGTTGGGCGAGGAGGAAGTAGGGTAAAGAAAAAAGAAAGAGGAAAAATGCATGACCTCGTAGATTTTCGCTCGTGGCTTATCCCTTGCGTATTGAGCCTAATGTTGAGATGCCACCCCGGCATTACGGATGCTTCGGATTTGATGATAAATTTTTACAGGAACTTTTTTCCCGTTAACGCACGTACTCCTACAATAGCATAAGGTAGTTTATTGGATAACCTAACGGTCGGTCGTACTGGCTTCTGAACGGTGTAGCCGGTAAATGTTGGAATTATCAAGAAAAACGAAAAACGTGTATATGATAGACAATACTGAAGAAGGAACAGCCAAAGATACGAGCGGACTGAACGTAACGTCTACTTGTTGTAGACCGCATCGGTCAGCCTGGGTTCGGTCGAGAATTACGTTCTGATCTGGAAGAATCGCATAAATTTTTCGACCGAATCCCCGCCACGTGGCAACGGGGACTTCGAGGTTGGTTAATTAATTTCTTGAATCTTTCTGAAGAAAGTTTGCGAGTTTCAGCAAAGTCAAGAAATACGATTGCACCGTGACGTGTCCCAGGTGTATTTGTTGGCTCTGATATACGCCGTCCAGGAATACTGACTGCTTTTCTTAGAAGCGTCAGCGGAGACAATGAAAAGAGAAGAAGAGATGGTCGAAGGAACTTCCTGCGCTCCAATCAAGCCGGGCGTCGGTATCGTCCTGGTAGAGACGCCTGGACGTACGGCGTCGTCATTGTAGACGCGCGCGCCTTCGCTCCTATCGAGTTGTTTGTGCGTTGGGCGTTGGGCCCATCGGAACGAAAGCGAGTAGTCCGAAAAGCACGGCTATAGAGATTCGGAAGGACACGCAGAGGCTATCGAGGATTCCAGTACGGCGCGCAAGGATTCTTCTGGCATGCGCATCCCTGTCCTCCCTCGATCCCCTGGTCGTCTGCCATGAAAACTCTCGATGCCGTCAAAGGACAGAGAGAGCGAGAGAGAGAGAAACGGTGAATGCGATAGCAGGACGACGAGGAGAGGGTGAATCGGAAGGGGAAAGAGGGCTAAGGAGAAGTTGGCAGAGGCGAAGGCGGCGGGGGTGAAGCTTGTCGGTGGTCCAAGAGTCGGGGCGGTCGAGGGACGGCGGAGCC